CAGTCTCCTTCAGCTCAAACCTCCCTAGTGTCAACTCTCATGTTAAACATGAACACACTCAGCTCCAGTAAGGGACAAAGTGCTCTAAATATAAGGTAGGAACTGCATTATTATTATTGTAGGGCTGCACAAAATGAGGGGCCTTTCTCTTTAATCTGCAACAGTGATGAGGATGTTTAAATGTCATGTTGATTTTTGACAGTATTTCAGAGGAGAGCGCTAATGCCACAAAGGCCACTGCTTTTCCAAACTGGATTCTCTTAATGGGCTAAATGGTGCCAAAGTGGTACCAAAAACAAACAAACAAACAAACACCACAGCTATGACTTTCATGGTAAAATTTTTAAATTCTGACATGAAAGCACAGGGTAGGGCAGCTTGGCAATGTTGTGTTGAGGTGATGTAAGCTTGCTTTTGTTGTAGTTCATGTCCCAAGGCTTTCCTGCTCCAAAGCCTCTTGAGTTTCCATGTGGTTTCCTTACTTTAGGATAGGCTAAAAATACAAAGAGCAGCTCAGCCACTAGACCAGTTGTGGAATGAATTTACACAAATGGTGTGTTCAAGAAATGATGCTTTGGCCAAAGATGGGAAAGGACAGAAGGAAGGACTAAATACTAGTTAGTTCTTATCATGAAAAATGTTACTTAGTGATGGGGGAAAAGAGTGTTGTTTAGAAAGCATGATGGGAGACCAGTTAGGGCCCCAAGACTTTCAGTCCCTTTGCTATTCACTCCTAAAAATACCTTTGTGAAACACAGTGCACGTATAAGGCACACTGCAGTGACGGCCAAGGAGGGGAGCAGGGGACGCGTACACAGGGAAATAAAGGTGGCTATTGTCGTGCAGACTAAAGCCCGTCAAGGGTTTGGAGGAGCAAAGCCTAATAATAACCTCCATGTTCAACACTAAAGATAGAATGCACAAGGATGTGAGGGTGATCTGGCGGCCACCTCTGTCACCCCGTTCATCACCAGGGCTGACTAGGCTGGTGTCCCCTTCCTCCCTCACTGCTCCATGGGCATCCCTCCCAAAGCTGAGTGCTCAGTGTACGAGGACGACCTTACCCAATAGAGGAGGCTCTCTCTGTCTTTGGTCAAGGGTATACAAGTAGCTGTGCTCCCCTGCTGGAACCTCCAAACAGGCTCTCGAGATTTTATTACACACTAGTGGGCATGGGAGGGGAATACAGGGCGTAATGAGAAGTGAGTATGGCCGAAGTACATTGTACACATGGATGACATTGTCAAATAAATAAAAACAATTTTAAGAAAAACTACACAATGTAGCAAAACTGTTGGTGAAATTAGGTATACAGTAATAATTATAAAATGTGGAAGCAAAAGATTGAATTTAAATGCAGTTTGGGAGAACAAAAACAGTACGCCTGTTTCGATGACGATAGCTCTCTGCCTCCAAGCTTTTCGGGACTCCCTCTTGCCCCAGAGTCCTTATCAAGGTCACTAGGCCTTTCTTTCCCAGGGTTTGACATTACCAACCCTCACCCTACTCTCTAACCACCTTGGTCTGACTGTTCAGTGATCTTAAACACCGCCTAGCCATGTCACCTTCAGCAGTAAACTGAGATATCACTTCTTCCAGAAGCTTCCCCAGCCTTCCCCAGGAGGCTCCCTAGCCCAGCATCTCAAGCTGCATCCTAAGAGCCTGAGAACTTTCCAGTTGTCCCAAGTAGATTGTGTTTGTCTTTTCAATAGAGATCTTGCCCACTTTTCTAATTGCTTTGTCCCAGAGCCTTGCATAGGACCTGGCATGTGGCAGGGCCAGGGACACACACTGGATGGATGAATAGCTAAAAGCATGATTGATGGGTGACTGAATGAAATCCTCTGAATACACATCTTGCTCCTGGCCTCCCTCTCCACTGTCAGTGAGTGACAGTGTCTCTATGGGTCTCCACAATACAAGTGACCAGAGACCAGGAGAGAAGAGAACCAGGAGAGCCTATGGCATTAAGGTTGACCCCCTCTTCAAATTTGTTTTAAATACTGTGGAGAGTTTGAAGCATGAGAGAAGGGGATAACAGCTTTATACATAGAATTCACCCATCACAAGTTCACTCATTTAGAGTATAAAGGCCTCTCTTTTGTTCAGAGTTGAAAAGTGGTCACCACAAACAATTCCTGAGCACTGTCATTGCCACAAAAAGATACTCCACACTCTTTAGTTATTGTCCCCAACCATCTTCCCATATGTGCTCTCCCTAAGTAACAACTGATCTGTTTTATGCCTCTATATGATTATTTATTCTGGACCTTTTTTTTTTATAAAGGAAATCATCTAAAATGATCATTCATGTCTCACTTTCACTTAACATAACGTTTTTAAGATTCATCCATATTGAAACCTGCATCAGTACTTCATTCTTATGAATGACTGAATAATATTCCCTGTATATAACCATGTAAATATTCCATATATCATATTTTGCTTATCCATATATCACTCACAAACAATGGTGTTTTTAATATTCATATATAAATTTTGTATGGCCACAATGTTTTCATTTATCCTGCATATAAACTGCTGGGTCATACAGTAACTCTATTTAACTCTCTGAAGAACTGCAAGTCCATGCTCTCTCCAGTAGCATATGGCCATTTAATACTTCTGCATGCTTGCCAACACTATTGTCCTGCCATTTTAATTATTACATCCTAGTCAAAACAAAATGGTAGTATGGTTTTGACTTACACTTCCTGAGGACTAATGGCATTGAACATGTTCTAATGTAGTGAATGTACTTATTGGTTATGTATATTTTACATTGTTTTTATTTTTTACTTATAAAAAAAGTTTATAATGTAAAATAATTTATTTCAGATAAATATAAAGCATTTATATCTCAGATTATGGTAATAAACATCAAAAATAAAATGTACAAGAAAAGCATTGTAATGACTATAAGAGACTAAAGAAATAGTGGGCTAGGAGCCAGAGACATGGCTCAATGAATAAAGCACTTTCCATGCAAGTATGAGGACTAGCGTTTAGTTCCTAAGAATCCACATAAAAACTGTGTGGGCTATCCGGGTGGTGGTGGCACATGCCTTTAATCCCAGCACTTGGGAGGCAGAGGCAGGCGGATCTCTATCAGTTCGAGGCCAGCTTGGTCTACAGAGTGAGTTCCAGGAAAGGCTCCAAATCTACACAGAGAAACCCTGTCTCAAAAAACAAAACAAAAACAAACAAACAAACAAAAACTGTGTGGGCATGGCTGCCACCTGTAATCCAGCATTCATGAGGCAGAGACAGAGGACCCACCACCCCCCACCCCAGTCCCTCCCAACCCCCCACACACTAGGCTAGCTGGAACCAATAAGCTCCAGAGAGACCTTTGCCTCAGAAAATAAACTGGAGATTAATTTCCATGCAACACACACACACACACACACACACACACACACACACACACACACACGACTGTCTCTTGGGGATAAACATGAACTTTGGTCCCAAAATCATATGGCAAAACTTTTTATTCCTCACTCTGAGCTAGTTACTCAGCCTTTCTGAGTCCTTGTTTCCACATCTACAAAATGGAGCATTATGAACACCTGTATCTTACAGGTCATTTGGGGAATAAAGTGTTCACACACAACACACAGCATGGTCACTAGCACACAGTAAGCTTTCCGTAAGTTTTGGCACATGAAACTAGGCATTAAAATGAATCCCCTTTTAAATTCTAGGATGGCTAGGAGGTTTTATTATGCAAATGTAAATTATGACTTTCAAGGAAGAAATCATTTGCTTTCCAAACTTAATCAACCATGAAACCTTTCTCACAGGTCCTCTGACAGGGCAGGCAGTCCAGCAAAATGCTTTGGGGGATGCTCAACCTACCTACTTTGCTTCCCTCTCTTACATGCCGAAAGTGGAGGTCCTGGAAGGAAGGGACCCACAGTCTCCACCACTTGACAACAAATCCAAATGGGGAACTTGGGTTCTTGTTCTCCCCAACTTCTTCAGTAAGAGTTATTCATGAAGCCATTATCTTGGGAATAGGTCAAGAAGTCCTGTGTTCTTCCCACCACACTCTGTCTGTTCATTCCATCGAGTATAGCTCTGGCCCTCTCAGCCCACCCTTACATTGCCATAGGGGGGAATAAAGAGCCCTGGTCTGCTGTGGGATGTCTTTCTGTATGCTGTGAACATGTGTTGCTCTGATTAGTTGGTAAATGAAACCATTTGGCCTATGGTGAGTCAGGTTATAGCTAGGCAGGAAACTGAAGAGAGAGACGCCAGCACCTCCAGGAGAAGCAAGATGTGAAATTACCGGTAAGCCATGGCCACGTGGCAACTTACAGATTAATAGAAACGGATCAAGTTATAAGAGCTAGCTAGCGAGAAGCCTGCCATAGGCCATGCAATTGGTAATTAATATTAAGCTTCTGAATGATTATTTGATAGGCGCCTGTGGGACCTGGGGGCCAGGCAAGACCTGAGAAACCTTGCAGCTACACTAGTCACATATATTCTAGCAAGCTTACCAATGACCAGGCAATGTGTGTCGTGTTCAAGCCTCCTTTGGGAGGGAACCGTCACAACAACCTGCAAGGCTACTTTATAGTTCACAACCCCTCTGGACTCAAGAAGAAAGGGAGCCATGGGCATTCGCGATGCACGCCTTTAATCCCAGCACTTGGTAGGCAGAGCTAGGTAGATCTCTGTGTGGCCAAGGATACAGCCAGCATTGGAGATACACGCCTTTAATCTCAATACCAACCATAGAAGACCTGGAGGTCTGTACAGACAGGCAGTGACGAGGCAGTCATGTGGTTGGGTTTACAACCAATGAGAAGGCAGAACAGAAAGTCTATATAAAGACAAATACACAGGAAGTAGGTCTCTCTTGGCTGAAGAGGATCGCTGAAGCAGGAAGGGCAAGGCTCTTAGCTCGGACCTCTTGGGCTTTTATTTTTACATTGGCTCTGTGATTCTTATTTAATAAGAAGGTTACTTCTACAGAGCCATCTTCCCACTGCTGGCCCCCTTGCACACTTCAAAGGGGAGGGGCCAAAGATCCAAAATTCATCTGGGATTGCAGCCAGCCAGTTCCTTCTCAGAGCTGGGGGTGTAGAGGCCGGTGTGTGGCAGACACTCGGGGAGTCAGACTCAGAAAAGAAGTTTAGGTGGAGATGGAGGAAAGGCTGTTTGAGGAGGAGTGTTAGAGGCCGTGTACCTCCACACATCACTGCCCTGTAGAATAATTGCAGAAAGGAGGATGCTAATGCACATGTTCAAGGGCAGTACTTACCACCCAACCCGCCGAACACCACCACGACTGTTTCCAAGAAGACACATGAGGCTGTGAAGCTCATTCCTGAAACAGCTTCCCAGCCCTGGCTGACCAACGCTGGCCCCGACAATCATGTAGCTGCCTAGGAAGATTCCAGGTGACAGAGGCATCACAAGGACCACACCAAGGTGACCTAGGAGCTTCTCCTCTCCCCTCCTACCCCCACATGGTAAATGAGAGAAGGTGAATCAGAACCAAAAAGAGACTCAAGGCTCCCATTAGCTGTGGCTGATTTGCTGGTTATAATGATCGGGGCTGGCTGGCAGAGAGCAGTCTGTCCATTACGATTAGTGTGATTCCAGCATTTACAGCTCCTCAGCTCGTTGAGAACATATTTTTAGTTCTAATATCAAAACATGTCAGAATTTGTTTTGCCGAAGCTAACAGGATGGTCCATGTCTGATCTATTATTATGAACAATTTAACTGGGAAAGCAGAGTGCATGGTGCTGTGAAAAGCAGATGTCAGCAGCTCGGTGACTAGAGGACCCAGTGGCTTGGTCCCCTGCACAGGCATACTCTTCAATCCCTAGCTACAACAGAAAGGGAGATGCCCACTTCCTTCTCCTTTCAAGCTTCATAATGTCCCTCTCTATATCTCAAAACCTGCTGGCCTTCTTTGGAACCCCAACCCAGAAGACCTAGAAAATGTCCAAATTTCATTTTTTTGTCTACAGTAAACTAGGTAAATAAGATTTCTGGTATTACAGAGAATAGACCTTTTTTATTTCATATATGTATACCATATTTATATCATTTTCCCCCTCCTGTGTCCACCTCCCTACAACTCTTTCTCAAATTCATGGTTTCTTCTCTCTCTGTCTCTCCCTCTTCCTCTCCCTCTCCGCCCCCCTCATGTCTCTCTTTCCAGAAGTTGTCCCTCTTGCTGAAGATGCCATACACTTCAGACTGGACTTAGAGAAATCCAGCTGGAGCTGAACCAGAAGGCTCCTCCCAGGGGACTGACTTTCACAGTAACAAAAGGTGCTGTGCAAGGTGCCAAGGGATGGAGCCAACCACTAGCCTGACCCAGCTGTGACATCTATAAAACACAACGACTTTGTTAGTCCATGGATCTTTGAGGAAGCATTATCACCCCAAGTGGCTGAACTTCATTTAAACCGTGTGTGTGTGTGTGTGTGTGTGTGTGTGTGTGTGTGTGTGTGTGCTGTTTTAGGTAAACATAAAAAGAATACGATTCCCTATGGCTGTTCAAACATCGTTAGTATTATTTAGTGCTCCTCCCCTCCCTTCCTCTATTTCTGTATAGCCCTTTCTCCCGCTCCCCAGTTAAAGCCTCTCCCTCCATTTTTCCCATCCTCCCCTTTATAATATCAATAAAGCTTAATGAACAACTGAAAACAGGAGGCCAGTTTGGATTGGATGCCCCACCTCTGACCGGTTGGGAGAGCGAGCGCTCAGAAGTTAAGAACAGCAGCTAAGGTAAGATTAGCTAGGCTTAGCTCTTTACTTCCTGCTCCATGTGATGGTGAACCTACTTATTTCGCCTCTTTCTGCTTCCGTTTTCTTATCTTTCATATGAGGGAAATAGCAGCGATTCATGTGCCTGATGGGAGAACAAAATGAGATCATGTACATCAATGCAGTGCAAAGCATCTAGTGCTTCAGTGATTCATATCAGGTTATTATTGTTATTCTGATGTCGTAGGCAGGCAGCAGGTTTGCAGAAAAAGCATACACTTGAAGTCAGGAAAGCTGACCTGTCACTTGGGCTGCTCAGTTCCCATCTCTGGGCCTCCTGCTTCCTCATCCACAAAGTAGAGATGATCAGCCGCCTGAGAACTGCCTGAGGCTTCAGGGAGCTGCAGCATGGAACAAGTGTTTGCGAATTGTTATATGATACTCAATGTAATCTAATATGATTATCCTCCAACTGACCCAAGCCTCTGGAAATGCTGGACAGAGCCAGTGACAGGCGTTGACAGTCTGGGTAATGGATTAAAACCTAAAACCACACTTAGAGCCTACCAATGCAAAGCAAAAACAAGTCAGAAGCATTGAAACACGGACTCAAAAGGATGTGAGGCCAGTGCCAGAGCAATCTCTATAAAGTAATTGCCTGACTGATTCTACTTATTGGCTTAGTGTCCTTCAAATAGACTGGCTGTATTTTTTTTTTTCAATTCACATTCAATGGCACTAGCTTCCTTTGGCCTAAACTCTATAACGGTTTTGTCCCTATTCAAGTAAGCCTAACTATTCTGGCTTGAATATGGTTTGTCTCTGCAAAAACCCATGCTGAGATTAAATGCCAATGCAACAGTACTGAGTGATATCGAGGCCTTTAAGAGATGGTTGGTGTCATGGGGCCTCTGCCCTCTTGAACAGATGAATGTGGCTCCCACAGAGTGAGTTATACTCTGTAGGAGTGTGAGTTACATAGTGTGTTCTGCTTCCCCAGGCTCTCCCTAACTCCCTCTCAGTGTGTGATCTCTCTGGCATGGGGCTAATTGCCCTTCCTCCCACCTAAGGCCTTCACCAGAAGCCAAGTGAAGCCAGAGGACTTCCAGAAAATGAACATCTTTCCTCTATAAATTATCCCGTTTCAGGTAGTCTGCTAAAGCAGTATTTCTCAACCCATGGGTCGAGACCCCTTTGGGTCAAACAGCCTTTTCACAGGGATCACCTAAAACCATCAGAAAACACAGATACTTACATTATGATTCATAACAGTATCAAAATTGCAGTTATGAAGTAGCAACAAAAATAATTTCATAGTTGAGGGGCCACCACAACATGAGGAACTATATTAAAGAGTCATGGCATTAGGAAGGTTGAGAACCACTGTGCTACAGCAACAGAAAACAGACTGAGACATGAAGAGATGCCCACCTGGGGCTGAAAAGTTATATCATAGTGGCATTCACCTTGGGCTAGCCAAGCCTGGCCTGAGGCTCCAGCTAATAGAGGCAGCCAGAGATCTGACCGCTTGGCTCACATCATGGAATTTATCCACCTGATGGGCCCTCTGAACGCCTCTGCAGCCCGATCATTCTCCAAGGCAAAGAGAACTGATTCTTCACACAGAAATCTTCCTCCTTGAACTCTTGCGTCCTAGGGTATGTTAAAGTGCTTTCACTGATGGTCTCTTACTTCATGAAAGAATCAGAAAAGTATAAAACCGGAAGGAGGAATGGGTGCTGAAGAAACACGAAATAAAGAAGCAGGAAACTGTTCTCCCTGACCCTGCCCTGCTCTCAGGTAATGGAAAAGAATGGGTGTGTTCAAGGTTGCTCCAGAGCAGCTCTGAGGAAGAAGCCATTTGGGGAAGCAGTGGCCTGCAATGCTCAGGGAAGTTGCCAGGGCCTGAGGGAGGAGGCCCATGTCAGAGAGACTCACCTCAGCTGGCCTCAGGTGAACAGCTCTCCGTGGACACCTTTCGTCGCCACAACCTGGAGCCCAAGAGAAAAAAAATCACAGGCACCATGGAGGGAGAGACAGAGTTGAATCTCCTGCTTCCCCCATGTTCTGGCCGTCTTCACCCATTTCTTCTTAGCTGTGGTGAAAGAGAAAACATCACGTTAAACTAGGCCCCTCAAACAGCCTCCCTTCTGATCCCACCACAGGCCGCCTGCAGCTGAGAAGACACCGCCTGAGCTTTGACTCCCCCTCCTCAAGCTGCTCCCTGCCCCTTGGCCCCTCTTTGTGTCCTCTTCTCTGGTTTCGTCCTCTGTCACCTCTCTCTCCACCCATGCCTCCCATATCCCCTCATTCAGATGCCCAATTTCCCTGCTTCCTTCCATGGACCTCACTATCTCTGCCCCCCTTCTCCTCTCTGCTACCCTCATCCTGCCCTCCCCTCCCCCCCACTTCCTCCTTTCTCTTCTCCTCCTCCCTGGCCCTGCCTCCCCCCCACTTCCCTTCCTCCTCACTCTCTTCCTCCTCCCTGGTCCCCCACCTCCCTGGCCCCCTGTGCTGGTTATAGGTTTCTGTCAACTTGACACAAGCCAGGATCATCCAGGAAGAGGGAACTTCAAGTGAGGGAATACCTCCATCAGATTGGCCTGTAGGCAAGTCTGTGGGTCGTTTACTTGATTAATGATTGATGTGGGAGGGCCCAGTTCCCGGTGGGGGGTGCCACCCCTGAGCAAGTGGCCCTGGGTTGTATAAGAGAGAGAACTGAGCAAGTGAGCAATCCAGCAATCCAACAAGCCAGGAAGCAGCAATCCTCCATGGTTCCTGCCCCTGCTCCTGCCCGAGTTCACACCCTGACTTCCCTCAATGATGGACTGTGTTGGGGATGTATGAACCCAACAAACCCTTTCCTGCCAAGTTGCTTTTGGTTGTGGCATCTTTATCACAGCAATAGAGGGCAAACTAAGACACCTCCTCTCTTCCCTGCCCTTTCTCTCTGCTCCCCTTCCTTCTCTTCCCTTCTGTTTGTCTAGTCTGTCTTTCCTGAACCTGCCCATCTCACTACGGACTTTCAGATTTCCTGGTTTCTGGTTTCCGTCAGGTCCGGAGGTAAATTACAGTTTTCTGTTCAGTTTACTGGAGGCTCTGCTATGTATTGGCAGCGGCAGAACAAGGTAAGCGGAACGGTGGTTCATGTGTCAATAAATAAGTAATAATGAGTGGAATAAAAAAAACATTTTATCATAAAATTCCCAAGCATGTGTACTCTTGCTCTGTAGCCTCCCCAGAGGCCAGCACACTGTGCCTAACGTGTAAAAAGAAATTCATAAATGTCTATTGAATAAAAGCCCCAACCAACAAGCGAATGAACGTGGAAACAGGACATCCCTTTACTTCCCTTGAGCAATGTGTCCGTGGTGTCTGCTGAATGAGAGACCAGAGACATCCATCCCAGGACCCTCTGCTGAAGACACATTACGTTACCAGACACATTGAAAAAAAAAATGGTGCTGCTACAGACCATTGTCTCTTCAATGGCCAGCGTTTCCCTTGTGGACTTCATTAACTTTCCTGGCAAATCCTCTTTTACCAACACAGGTAGATAGACCCCCAGTCCACAGTTCTGGACACATAGCCGCTGGCCCTGCTTGTACCTCAGCAATGCTGGGGTGCGCTCCCTCTCCCCTTCCCCCCTCACTGGTTCATTCCTGGATCCTTCTCACTCATCTATCCAGCAAACGTCGGTGTTATGCCTTCCCTGGGACAGGCTGTGTGCTGCAGACTTTATGTGGATTCTCATTGAATCCACGACAGACTCTTAGGAAGGGCCTTTTTATTATCTTTTCTTTTTGCATGAGGAACCAAGGTGGAAGCTGGCCAGATGGTTCCCCCCAGTCGTCCGGGTTTGCTCACTACAGAAGTAGTTCCCTGGACACTGACCTTGACGTTTTAAAGTCAGAACAGTCCCAGGCAAGCTGCCCCAGCTTTCCCGGGACTTGGAAATTCCCTGGGGCATGAGACTTCCAGTGCCAACACTGGGAAAGCCCCGTGCAAACTGGATGGGTTGGTTACCCTGCTCCAACCGCATGCCTGGGGCCATACAACTGGTCTACATGAGAGCCAAAACCATTTCATCAGATCCCAGGGTCCCACTTGGGCTCCACCTTGCCCAGCTGACCTCTAACCCGATGTTTCGAGCTGCTTCTAAACCACACTACGGTCACACCCAAATACCGCTGGACTAGTCAGTTCTCCACGGCTGTGATGAGTACATGAGGCAGTCAGCTGATGCAGATCAAAGGCTTATTTTGGCTCACAACTTCGGAGCTCTCAGCCGTGATTCAATAGACCCATCGCCTTAGGCCTCTGGTGGGAGTGGGGGCAACTCATCACGGTGGATGCCCGCAGCAATGCACAACTTTGCCTCCGCCAGAATACCAAAGATCAGGACGGAGGGTAGTGTCCCCTGCAGGGCAGATTCTCGTGGCTTAAAGGCCCCTGCTTCTCAGTGTTCCTCACCTCCTAGTAGCATCAGCTACAGACCAAACACCTGGGTTTGAGGGAGAAAAACCATTCTGACAGCTTTCCCCAGGCCCTGCCCTTGATTCTCCTGTGGTCCTCTTTGAAGACAGGAAAAAAAAAAAAAAAAAAAACTCTTCATCTACAGCCTTCCAGCCCTCATGTCAAATTGGCCCTGTACTCTCTGGCTCGGTCATGGTGCTACAAACTTCTAGATTACCTCTGTTCTTGCCTCGTGCCTTCCTCCCATCACTGGAGAAGTGTCAGACTAGCGTCTACTTGGGGTTAAGGTTGCTCTGGGGAAGACAAAGAGGAGGCAGACACAGTACCCCAAATCAGCATCTGTCACCTCATTTCAGGGGTCACTTCCTCCCAACCCCTCCTTGACCCCTTTCCTTGTATCCAGCACTTCTATGGTCAAGTATCGTGACTCCGGGCACTGAAGTCATCCGATCTCATTTTTCACCCGGCCCGTGTTCGTGAGTCTCAGTTCACTAATGAGATTGTCAGGGTGTGGGGACAGCGATGCTGGCGAGCCTTTCTCCTGCTTCCCACAATACATCTGACCTTGTGACAGGCGCATAATGGCTGATTGAGAATTCCTCATCAAGCTAAATTAAATTGGTTAAAACAGATTCTCTGACACAAGAAATCCTATGTAACAGTTGGGGTTTTGTTGGCTTTTTTTTCCCCCTGATCCCTGAGTACAGAACAGTTACTCTGCCAGAGAAAGCCTTCACTTCGAATTTCCCTGCCATCTGGGAGGACCAGAGCCCATCAAGTTGACCCATTTACATCTCTTATTCCACCTCTGCAGAGGAGTCTGCCTCCTTCCCTTCCTCTTCCTCCACCCCCAGACATCTTAGAACCTAATCACCACCTTCCGAACCCTCCCTGTCAACTTCCACCCCCTCAACCAAACGCACACACCACCTCAAACACTGAACCCCGTCAAATTTTTAAAGTTCAAGAACTGAAAAAGAGGAGCAATTGACTCATTTTCCCTTGATTCAAAGTACTGAGGCTTTTCTAGAACACCTCTGACATCCTTTGTGTGAGCCTGTTCCTGAAGCAATGCAAGCCGAGGGGCTCTCACCACACTGCCCAAGCTGATAGTGGGGGATGGGGCACCTTTCCTGCAAGTAGCTGGAGTCACCAGGTCACCAGGTCACTAGGGTCACCTTTCCCCACACACAT